GTTTTTAAGACAAATCTCCAAAGACAATACGCACCAGTAGTACCTTGAATTTGAGCACATACATTGACTACGCAAAATAAAAAATCCAGGCGATGCTCGAAAACAAAAATGCTAAGAAAGGATCACTAGAGTCGAGATAGACAAACACGACGGCACGAGTGCTTCTGCTGTCTTGAGGTTATCGCCACGACATCGCCGCACTGAGAGCAGATAGATATTCTCTTCTAGGACGTGCCGGTTTATCATCGTGACGCGAGACAAGAATTCGCAGTCAAGGATAGCGCTCTACACAAAACGATGAGCTTCCACCACGTTGACCCCGGCGACGGTCACCGCCGGTGCCATGTTTTCCTGCACATAGCAGGAGCCGCAACCGGCGTGCAACGTGCGCGGCCGACCTCTCCTCGACTCATGACTGGTCTGTCGATGTGGTCGCTCTGTTCGTTGCCGAAGTTCAGCACGGCTCAACTCTTTCCGTTGCAAAGGAAACACGGACAACACGGTAGTTGGGCGCTTCGTTGCTATGCCAACTCGTCGTTCCAACCAGTTGAATTCGTTCGTAAGCGTAGCGGTCGATGTGAACGCAAGTGTGTGAACGGGCCTTAAAAGGCTTTTTTTTTTGTTTAAATATGGTGCGTTGCAAGTAAAAATCTTGGTATTCAATATTCGATTTGATATTCGAGTCTGTGCTGAATGTTGAGAACTATTTGAGAGACAACGTGAAAGTGTCGACAAGGCGGCAGGATGGAAAGGAGGAACGGCCGGCCGCTGCGAGTCCTTGGTCGTTGAAATGGCTAGCGGAAGCCGCAAACCGTCATTGATGACGTCACATAACTCGCTAAACATTTGCAGTTTCCAGCACCCGGAACTCCATTTGGTTTAAACCGCTTGGAAAAAAAAGTAATGAAACACAAGTAATGCGTTACTCGTGCAAGTTGGAAAATGTATATTGTATAAGTGCTTGCAACCACGACCTCTGGATCATTGAGCTAGCGAGAGCACAAATCTATAGGTCTTAGCCTAGCGTAGTGAATGAGCTATCGAAGGTAAAACAAAGGCTCCCGAATAAAAATCAGGGTGCCGCACGTTGTCAATATTTTAATCAAATATCGTTTACCGCTCTGAATTATCAGAACGATCTGTTGTTTTCTTTTTTTTTTTGCTTTTTTGTTTATGAAAGAATGCAAGATTATGAAATATTGTTACTGATGCACATTAATAAAAACACTAATCGACTGACTGTTTGACGAATTGATTATATATTTTATATTAGATTGTCTGTTCTTAGAAAAGCCCATGGAATTTTCTAAATGCCTTTTGCATTTATATAAGTCTTGAGAAATATTTTAATAAAATACTTGACTGGTTTCCGGTCAAGTATAAATATCGTGAAACGAACAGACTATCTAATATAAAACATACAATCAATTTGCCATATAATCAGTGTCGATCGATCAGCGACGCGCCGTCAACCCATCGCAGCAGGCGGCGATGCACCGGACTCCCCGTCCCACTTGGTCCGGCCGTGTAGCATTGGGCCCCTGGAGCCCTTTGCTAACGAAGCGACCGAAAGGTCGCCCTCAAGACAACTTCGATGGAGCGAGCGGTGGTGCTCTGCCTGAGAATCTATATGATGTAAGAAACATAACCTACCCAGTGGCACGCCAACTGTCGGCAAAGGTGGAGAAGAGTACGCCTCAAGGCCCTCTTAAGATCTTTGACAGTCTGCCAGTGAAGGAGCTTGACCGACGTTCCTACACAGTTTCTGAAACTAGTCACGTTTCCTTATAAGCGTAAAAAATCTCTGGAAACTCACCAGGATTCACTATACCAATATTAAAGATCAAATAAATACGTTTCACATTGTTTAACCTTTGCTTCACGTATCTTTTTGTTACTTTTTTTTTATTTGCTGATTTAAATTAATTCTTTACATTTTAGTATACCTGTAAGGTAAACATAGGTTATCAACAGTTACACAAACACTGAAGATCCCTATGATCTACCTTCTATACAGGCTGCCTACCAACCTGGGAAACAAAAAACCTGTAATTGTCAGAGAATTACGCCAGTTTGAAAAAGTTGGGGAATTTCCACCTCGCGGTCACGGAAATTGAGCTTTCCTTTCTCCGAGCGACTGCAAATCACGCGCGTGTGGTGCGGCATTATTCCGCGCCACTCAGCTGTCGTGCCGACGCAAATCTCTTAAATTCCTATCGCATTCTCTAGAAACGTTCACACTAAGATGAACTTCTCTCCTTGTACTCGCGCTAAAAGATTTATTTAGCGAGAAATATCAAAGAATAGACTGACAAGGTAGTATGATAAAGTGCTTGCGCAACGCCTTGTTGGCCGTCAGATATACCAGTGTTTTCTAAATATAAATTGTGCTTCAGGATCCAGATACATCCTGTCCCCTTTAGAATCAGGCAGAGATAAAGTTGGGGAAACCTGGAAAAGTTGGCAAATTTGTAAGCGCCATATTGGTAGACAACTTGGCATAGTGTCTAGAGGAAGTTGATTAAAGGGATACTGAACCGAAATTTGCATTTCGCAAAGTAAGGCTGCAGAAGTGTTGAACGGGACGGTACGAACTCCAAAACATCACTCGTACATTGATATCTCTAACGGATGGCCGTACTTTTGAAAAAAAAGGGGGCGATCAAGTGAGTTCTTTTACGTAACTGTCCTCCAGGAGAATTTGAGGAGGAGGAAAAGCGGCCTCGCTCCGGTTCACAGCTTGACGGGACGTAGCGCGGAGGAGAGAGAATGGGAATCGTGACGTGCCTAGTCTCGTCGGCCGGGTTCAATCTCGCACTTCTTTTTAAAAAAATACGGCGATCCGTTAGATATATCGCAATATGAGTGATATTTATTGGTTTTGCAGCTTCCCGGCTATCCGCCCGGCCTTGTTTAGTGAGCTCGAAATTTCAGTTCAGTATCCTTTTAAGTACACAGCGCAACACTGCGCAAGCACACGATTGCTGTGCTCTTTTTTTTTTAATGTTTTAAGGCTTTCTTCTAAACAAGTTGTTTCGTGGAAAATGTTTATTTGGGGGCACTAACCCTAAGCGTTCATATTTTATACTTTCAAATTTCCAAATAAAGTATAAGTTCTTTTTTTCTTTTTTAACTTCCGACTAATCGTGTAAAAAAGGAATAGTGATTAAATAACTTAATATACGCTAAATGTATCTATGTACTCTGACTACCTTTGTACATAATCAGTATAGAGTTTAAGACAGTTATTATGACGTGGTGCAAGCTTGTAATACCCCCCCCCCCCCCCCCCCCCCCCCCCCCCAAAGGGGTCTTCCGCAGGGGTTGTCAGCCCTTCCGAGGAACTGAATAAACAGAACAAGAGTGCTTAAAAATATTTTACTACACACAGAATGTAGATACATATTCTAGATACTCCTACAAAGTATCACCAAACTGAAGTCATTATGGCGTGGCACGAGCTTTTGTATGCTTCCTCTCTTCTGTATGCCCTCCCCTTTTTTTTCTTTTTTGTGGGGGAGGGGGGACGTACAAAGCTTGTGCCATGCCATAATGGCTGCCTAAATCCATGCGATGATTATGTGATAAAGTGGCTAAAGCGTGTATCTGCATTCTGCATATACAAATATTTTTAATCGCTTCTAGTTTGTTCACATATTTTCTCGGAAATCGAGAAAAAAAAAAAAAAAAAAAAAACAGCGCTGGTACGAAAAATTGCTGCTGTACCCGTGCTCACAGTCTCCCGGAGTTTACATACAGACACATATTGTGTCTGATATGACATAGAACGATCTTCGCGCTCACTGCCAACAACCGCATGTTAAGTGACATAATATAGCAACGAGGTATGTCCTTCTCTCATAATGTTAGATGCAAAAATAGAACATCGTATGTGAAGCACCGTACCAGTTATTTCTTGCTTCTCACGTATTCTTGAAGCTTTTAGATATCCCCGTGCATAGGAGCAAGAGAAGCTCAAGCTGTAAATATAATCAGCTTCAATCATTTTTACCGTCACTAGCGTCGTCCTCAACACTTAAATGCCGGCTTTCATTGGTGCCGACTGCATCGCTATATTGAAAAGATATGTTTAAGGTTTAGCGGATGACGTTAGTAGCGCTAAAAAAAAGGTTCACTTTGCATCGAATAAGGTTCGTAGCGGTGAACTATTCTGCAAGTCAACCCAGACAAAAAAATATCTAATGTGGCCCATATAAAAAGCCTTCGAGGTTACCCAGATAAAAATATATTCGGGGTGACCCACGTAAAAGATTTTCAAGGTGACCAGTAAAGCATTTTCGCGGTGACCCAGATGAAAGTTCTCCAAGGTGACCCAGATCAAGGCATTTTCAAGTGGACCCAGATATATTCGTCACAAATATATCCTCCACGAATTTGCAAAAAAGTGGTGGATAAATAGCGGATAAATCCGCTGCCGGGTTTAGAGTGCAACGTCGGCCGCACGGTGGCGACTCTGTTCGATCTCGAGGCGAATATACGGCGTCAAAAATCCAGGCTTAAATTGGAATGACACACTCATTTCTTACACTTTTCCAATCTTCAACTGCCACCTATACTTTTGCGCCGGCCCTCTGTCAATAGCGGAGTTTCTAACGTGGCCGATTCCTCCCAGCCGCCTTGCGGTGAAGATGGCCAAATATTACCATACGGACAACTTTGACGAACGCTTCGTGCCACTAGGATACCCGCAAGTAAAAACATGAAAGTTACGCCTACCGTACTGTTTAAATGCAAACTTAACCCGGATTTCACTAACCCTTTGACAAGATACCTAGCAATTTGATGTACACGATAACCTGTGGACGCCGTCATTTTTCTGATAGTGGAAACCCGTCGGTCTGTGGCGACTTCAGTTTGACAATCTTATCGTAGTCTTCAGAAAGAAACTCGCAAACCATTTAAGTTTATTTTAAAACATTTTTTTTATTTATATCGATCTTTGCGAAGCACGGCAATACACATGTCAAGAACTGCTTTAATTGGTATCGGCACACCGATCAAAGCACCACGCATCACGCAGTGCCATCTGTGTAATAAATCCGCATACAACACCTCACTCAATTGCTTCTACAGCAGGTTCAAGTGGGATGGTCGGGGCCAAGGGGGTCAGTGCATGAATGTTCTCCGAGCAGTTTCGTTCCGCGTAAAATAACTCTTTGGGTGGAACCTGCTGAGCCTCTGTCGAAACACTATCCTTATCGGAACGTTCCAGCGGCTCTTGATCAAGATCTTCGAGCTGCATTGAAAAATTAGGCCCATTGTTAGGGGCACAGACAGCACACAGTAGAGGGCCCTGATATTTTATCGTTTTGCATCAGAGATTGATCATAACGTAACTTAATAGGAAAAAAAAAACCGTTATATTGTGAACAACTTGCACGGTTAACTTTTTGAGGTTAAAAGTGAAGTGAAAGATCCACCTACCTCTTTCAACTTTAAGAGAGCGAACGCTGGAGAGGAGGCGACCTCCTCTGCAGTGTTTGCTTTGCTAAAGTGGAGAGAAGTGGGAGGAGCTTCCACCTTACTGTTGACCCATAATCGATTATAGCTGTATATAGCGGTTATAGCGATTATAGTCCCTATTAGAGGTTGATTTTGCAGCATACACAAAGAAAACAATATTATTAACGCCGAAGACAATTATGTATAGCTAAGAGGGGAGCCCTATAGTTGTAATATGCGTCTTTTAAGATTTCTGGAACTAATCTCTCAGGTCTAATTACACACGTACTCTTTTCATAATTATTTTAGATATAAACGAATGCAATTGACAATTTAAAATATACCCTTCTGGTTGCTATACGACGGTGATCAATTGTTATTTCGAAAGGGTCTGCGCCCGAAAAGCCTAGTTGTCCTCTAATGTACTTAAATTATGCAAAGTGCTTTCTTTCTTTCTTTCTTTTTTTTGTCCTTTGAAGATGCATTTTTTTTATGTCTGGAGGGTAGTTAGTTATAGGGCAAGAGGGGCATAATGTGGGGAGCTAATTGTCACGATAACTCAGGTAATTACCGCAGTTTTTTTTTGTATTTTTTAGTTAATTAAGATAAACACGTGGTTCCGATTACAAACTTGCTAAGCATTATATAAAGGGACTAAATCAGTCAATTTTAGAAAGACCTGGAACGCGGGGGGGGAGCGCGGTGGTCCGCTAACTTTACCACTCGCACAACAGGCGCAAGGCTCTGGATGCGCAGACGCACCCGCACAGTTTTTCCATCTCGTTATTATTCGTGCTTTCGCAAAGCCAGCTTTGCGCCTGTTGCACGACTGGTAACTTTAGCGCACTAGCGTTGTTCCCCCTACGCGCTCCATTTCTTTCTCAAATTTACTTATTTTCATAATCTTGTTCGACGGCGCTCAGCAAGTTTCTAATGGAAACCATGTTTATTTGAAGTAAATAATAATATAATTAACTAATGGAATTAGATGTAACTTATCGTGATGATTAGCAAGCTATGTTATGTCCCCTTGGCCGTATAACTCATCTGCACAGACCGCATTAGTGAAGCCTTCACGGTTGTTTAAAAATAAATGTATAAAGCTTAAAAAAAAAAAGACATCCTGTATGATGACGTCAATTCGTTCCGGACAAAATATGTACAAAGTGGTGACCGTGACTCGTAAATGGACACCATGGAGCGAAAAAGCGAAGAATTTCGCCCGGCAGCGTTCGCTTTCTGCGCGGTGTAAGAAGGGTGGCTGTTGCGCCACGTGCAAAATGAACGCGCCGCCAGGCGATGTTCATCGGTCTTCGCCGCATATTCGTACCATGGAAGTCAGGCTTTAAGGCTGAACTACATGGAGCGAATACGCTGCGAATAACCGACGAACTCCGCGCGGCAGCGTTCGATCGTGCCACGGCGCAAAACAACTGGTTGTTTGCAGCATACCTAGCAGAGCTAGATATTGTTCACCCGCGAACGCCGCTGCCAGAAGCGGCCGACGCGCGGCAAAGGGCCTGGGCCAATCAGGGTGTAGTACGCGGTTTCGCTTCCGCCTGGTTCCGATGCAGAGTGTTACAAACCAGCCGCCCATCTGGGCAATTTCTTACACAAAAAACACTTAAACGGTTATTAACACTCAAAGGTAAATTATTATAACTACTTGCTCGTTTCGTGGAATTTTCTTTCCGCATTTTACGAATATGACGTGTTTCAACAAAGCTTTATAAGTGGTTGGTTTCAGTGGATCTTCACTTTCCCCCTTGGCAACACTGACAGTCGTGCCGTTCGTGTCGGCGGCGTTTGCAGCTTCTTCGTCCGAAGCCGGAGTCACACTGTTTATATCTCATACAAAAGACAATCTGCGAAAACGAGTCAGCGCAATATCCGTGGTTCGAATGCCGCCTGACGAGTTTTTTCTAGAAAACTCATTGCATTGCGGCATTCGAAGCAAACATCTCGTTGTGACTCGCGTTTGAATCTGTATGCAGTTTGTCTTTTGTATGATGTATAAGCGGCGTGACTCCGGCCTAATGGAGTTCAGTGGTAAACGAATACGCGGCAGTGCGTCGTTGTAGATTTTGCCGCGTGAATTTTACCGTGAAAGTTCGCTCCATGGAGTCCACCAACTACGCAATGAAACGAAGCGGAAAAATCGCCGCCTCCACATAGAAAGCTCACATATTCGCTGAACGTGCATTCAGATGCTGAATTTTACCTTCTGAAGGCGTAGTTGTGTTCCTGTAAAAACATTAGACGAATAACCCTACTAAAGTCACTGGATGACGTGTCCGCTGACGATCGAATTAGCAATGAATGTAACTTGTGGCGCCATCTCCCTATAAGTGCAGCGAGCAGAGGACACACTGCGTTGCTTGCTGCTTCTATCGGGAGATGGCGCCACAAGTTATATCTATTGCTATCTATATTTAGACGTCTTCGAACATGTCCGTTGTTGATTTTGGCAAATTTGTTGGTCTCACTTTTATCACAGGAATAAAACTACGCCTTTAAACTGCAAAAAAAAAAAAAAGGAAAAAAATCCACACCCTAAATGCATATTCAGTGATAGATTAAACATCCACACAACAACAAGTATTTTAAGCTCTGTATGGGCACAGGCCAACTTTTCTGGTTCGTTTTGCATCGTGAGAAACACTATGGCCACCCTTAATCTTATTGGTGGCATAAAGGAAAGTGCTTCATAATGCTGAAATATCTCTAGGTGGTGTGTGCCAAATTAGGATATTCTTTGTAATGATATATTCATAATCATATCAAATAACGTTCAGCAATGTAATAGTAATGTTCAGTGATAGCAGTTTTGACATTCAGTCAAAACTGTTATCACTGAACGAAGAAAAACGAAGAAACCTTGAGCCCGATTGAGCACCAAGATATTCCTCATTCATGTGTCGAGGAAACCACGCGGGGAACGTTAAGTCAAGTCAGGTAAGCTGCACTTTTCCCACGTTAGCATGATAATAGTTTGCTTTGTTTTGAAAAGGGCGTAACCAACTTACCTCAAACATAAGATAGAATTCATAAGGCATTACAGTACTCTGAGGGAACAAAGAAAACAAAAATATGAAACAAGTTGGTACCTGCTTAATATCTATATAATTAAATACTATTTGCTGATCGCATATATATTGTTTATAATGTTAGGCCGCAAGACGAATACGTGTTGAAAGAGATCTTTCCACTTTCCCTCTACGCCAGCATATCAGGATTACTCTAGTCAGGTAACCCCAGATTCACTTTCTCTCCGCCAGAGTGTATCCCGCCTCTGTCTTCGCCGATTTTGGTATCACAACAACCATCTCAGAAAATATTTGCTACCACCTCCTCGCCGTATTTTCCCCCCACGTCTTGCGTGACCATTCTTGTAAATTCCTTAATCTCTTATCAAATGGCTATATTACCCTTGGATCGAAATATACAACAGATTTTATTTTGTAGATATAAAATTGTGATCAAAAAGAGCTTGATTTGAGCTTTCTGGAGATATCAAGGTCATTAAAATGTCTTAAACGGCTCATACGTAAAATGGTGTCAAACTTCCCTTGCATATCTTTTTTTATAAAAAAAAATATTATATAGATATTCGGCCTGACTCAGGCCGAAACATCGAGTCACTAAATAATTTAAAACACCAACAACGCTTCGATGTGGGACTACATTACTGTTATATATATATATATATATATATATATATATATATATATATATATATATATATATATATATATATATATATATATATATATATTAAAAGGTGTTTCAGAGAACGCAGGCCAAATCGCTCATATCTCCTCTACAAATAAAAACCTTGGCAAGCACAGATACTCTGTCAGTGTCCCTTTAAGGACCATGTTAGTTACAAGTTGCGGCAGTGACGTAGCACGTCAATTCAGCTCGCAATTTCGGATAGGGCCGGTCTTCGCCACTGACAGGCTGGACCATGTGTATATGGGGAGTGAGATAAGATTGACAATTGCAGCCGTCGTCTACCCAGTCAAGCGAATTCGAAACTAACAATATGCAGATAGCTGTTGAAAAATTGAGACCGCCGAAACCAGTGACCGGGATGGTGCCTTTCCGGCGCTCACTCTTGCCGAAGCCAGTGGCACGGAAATGGGCTCCCGCGTAGCAACGTGTACGGCCGTTCCCGGTCGGGTTTCTTTGAATAACTCTGAATCGCCGACCAACTACAAACTGCTACCGCCACCGCTGCCTCGTGGACAAAAAGCCGTAAACGCGATAATCCTACACGGATATCCTTTTGCACGCCCCTACCGTATTGAGGATTTCGGCGAGGCCCCGAGAGACTCCGTCAACATGGACAAGGTCGCAAGCTCGGGTCCCCTGCAGTATAACCATGTGTGGACGGTAACCTGCCACGATGCCGAGACCCGTGAAACGCTGGCCGCGAAGGCGGTGCTCACCGTAAAGAGTGAGCGCTGCCTCGTCTAAGACCCCAAATGTACAGGAACTTATCATCAAAGTTCAACGGGTGCCGATTCCGACTCTGGGCGACGCCGTTCGGAGGCTGCTGGATCCCTTCGGCGCGGTCAAAAAAGTGGAGCGAGACATGTGGTGGACGGGAGGGATTCGGCAACCTGGAGGCCAGGACAAGGAGCATCACCCTGGTATTGCAAAACGGCGTGGGTCCAAACGCCCTCCCGCACACGGCCACCGAGAGCAGACCATGCTGCTCTCTGTGCCGGGGTGCACGCTTTTGTGCCTCCGTTGTCGACAGGTGGGACATATGACACGCCAGTGTGTGACCCCTTGGTGCATGACATGCCAACGTTCAGCTTATTTGTGAACACGACGGGTATATTTAAAATTTCGTTGCAGTATCCCTTTTAAAAAACAGGATATAAAGTGCATGAGAGAAGCCCCCTTGCGTCAAAATGTCTCCTCTGGCGATTGTTGTCTACTTACCAAGTTGCACATTAACCCAACAAGGGCCGTTATGGTCAAACTACGATTGTGTCTAAAATCCTCCCATGTCTTCCTCACCTGCATAAAATGACAGCGAAACAGAAAGACGTAATGTGAGCAGATCAAGTGTCTGAATATCGACGAATGAATATCGTGCTAACGAATTTCATGTATCACATACAGGCGTGTAAACAATGCAAATTTAAGAGCTCAACTCATGAAGACAAACTTGGAGATTTTTATACTTTATATGATCTAAACATGACCTAAATGCGAAGTCTCAAAGTGCAGGCGGGTATCTTAGACTTCGGCACCCGCTGCGCGAGCTTTGATACAACCAAGTCCTAAACAAACAATTGGTCGCTCGAGTTTGTAGCCTTTTCGGTTAGTTCATCTTAAAGTGCGACAAAGTTAAAGGCCTTATTAAAGAAAGGAAGGAAGACATTTCTTTTTTACTTCAAGAATTGACCTTTCAGTGCATCACATGAGCGGGTTTGCAATGGCACTATTTTGAATATCATTTTGTTTTCAGTGTCTCGACGTTAAACAAAAAAAGAATGATCTCACTTGTGTGGCGACTCATAACACAAACCAGTACGTGAATCATAGACTAAATAACTCTTGTTTTGTTCGCTGCCGAACGTAGCATCACAATGAAAAATAAAAATACCCTGACGGTACAATCCAGCGAGAAATTAAATCTGCGAGCAACAAGCCCCTATTAAATAATAACAACTATAAACTCTAAGTAAAATATGCATATAGGAGAAGAGGCTCATCCCGTTAGTTCATATTACGCTATTTTTAATATCCGCATGTTTTCGTTCTATACGTAGCAAAACAAAACACTCCGGCTGATTGAAGAATAGCCCTACACTCAACAACCAACTAGCCCATCACGTCACTTCGTTGAGGATCTATCGTTGTTGAAGAATTTTTTTCAGGATTTTGGTAAGCAGTTGAGTTTCCGCGAAGTGTCACCAGGGTGACCCCCGACATAGTTTTTGAAAAATGTAACAACTTGCGAGCACTCCGACATATGTAACTGTACAAGAAAGGATATAAGGGCATAATATTTTATCTTTTTAGTAGAACTACGTTTTCTTCGCGCCTGGGAATGGGTGATAAGTTGGCAAACCGATGTCACGAAAACTTGGTTACGAAAGTGACGCCACAGAGATAACACTGGAGCGCCGACCTTTTTTTCATCACCGCGCTCCCTGACGGCACTCCGTGCCTCCTGCCGAGAACCGCGCAGTGCGATAGCATTCTTAAGCTACTCCCTCAACCCCAGATTTCTTGGGCTCTCTGGCCTCCTAATGCGCAGTAGGTATGCGCAGTGGACCATTTCGGCTCACATTCTCACTCCTACACATTCGCACCTTGACGACTCTGACGTCGTCCTCGACGTCGTCCTTGAGGTCGTCCTAGATATCGTATTTTACGTCGTCCTTGAGGTCGTTGTATAGGTCGTTCTTAAGATCGCCCTAGAGGTCGTTCTAGACGTCGTCCTAGAGATCATCCTAGAGGTCGTCTAGGGATCGACCTAGACGTCGTCTAGATGACCTCCAGGACGTCGTTCTCGGCGTCGTCTTAGACGTTAAGAACGACGCCCTATCGCAATTCATAGGCAACCAACAATAATGGTTTCGGCAGCAATTTCTTATCTGCTAACTTTATCGTTTGCTTGCTTCAACGGGTTGCGCTCCTGTCTGATTGAAACGGTGATAGATGCTGCTCCGGCAGCCCTGATTCCACAATCTTCGCTCATCGCTCTGAACAGCGGTCGAGGGGCCGAGCGCCTGTCCTCCGTGGCACGGGCAGTTCACTCGACTTTCAAGCGCGACTCGACAAAGCATTAAACGGCGCCATTTTCCATTTCTTGTGCCAATCCCACGTAGTTATATGGAAACATATGCAGCATAGTACACCCATGGACCGACAAATTTTTGTTATGACTGTGGGACCTAAGGTTAGAATGATACCAGTAAAAATATAGTAATTGGTGAAAAAATCGTTCAGTGAATATTTTAAAGTGTAAAATTTCTTTATTTACATCATTGCCAGACTATTTCTTTAGGTGGGGGGAACAAATTCACACGTAAAATGTAAAATTAATTAAATTCTCTAATCAAGCAATTATAATGAACAAATTACTTATTAGTTACGCTTTCTGCGTGAGCAACATCTTGATTTGGCACAAATCAATAGCATTACAGGATAGAGGAAAGCAATTTCAGTTGTAACTTCTGTAAAAAGAGCTACCACAACTACGTCGAGCAAGTATACTCACGATTGTGTAACCCTTCTTATCAAGAGCTTCAAGAGTGCAGTTGTAAATGGATTCCAGAGAGCTCTCCTTTCTATACCATGAACCTGGTATGCAAAACAAAAATAAAAAATGAAAGCCGTTTACAAGTTCCTGTAACACCGAATTAGAGCGCAGCTCTTGAGGAGGAGGCACGAAGGGTACTGAGGGAAGGGTAGACCCCTCCTCCCTCCTCCTCATCCTGTAACTCCTCCCTCCGAGCGGCATCGCCGTCGCCTCACGAGGGTAACGTGAGCTCACGGGTGTCACGTGACCCCCCTGGCGTCACGTGACCCCTGTGAGGCAACGTGACAATGACGTCATCACGATGACGTCATCGTCATCACCAGTGGCGTCACTGATGACGTCATCATCACTAATGACGTCATCGTCACCGTCACTGATGAAGTTATTATCGCTGATGACGTCATCGTCATTGTCATCATCACTGATTACGACATCGGCATCGTCACTGATGACACCAGTGACGTCATCAGTGACGTCACGCGTCCCATAATGCACCTCGAGGTTACGCTGACGGCAACGCCGACGGCCACGCCAACAGCGACGCCGCTCAAGCCGAAAACGGACGCCTAAAGGCTGAACTCCACAGGACGAATATGCGGCGAATAACCGACGAATTTTGGCCGGCGGCTTTTGCTCTGCGCGTGGAATGAACCCAGTGGCTGCTACGTCGCGCGCAAAGCGAGCGTGCCGTCGGGCGGCGTTCGCCAGTTATTCGTCACGTAATTCGTTCCATGGAGTTCAGCCTTAAGAGCTGCGCTCTAAAGACACTAGTTAATTCAATCATGGTTCTGTACTTATAGAAAGGAAAGCGAATGTGCTTTATTTATTTCGTTTATATTTTGATAGTCAAAGCACCATGTGAGATTCGGGCTGGGCGTCGATCAAATCTTTTGATTCGATTAATCCCCACCTTTTATTCGATTAATTAATCGCGTAATCGGTCTCATTCATTTCCATGCATAATATATAAAGAAAAAGCGCCATCCTTTTTTTTCTTGCCCTTGTTGAATACGTGACTGACGGCGCAATGCACAAATTTGATTTCAAATCAACTTTGATGTGTAGTTGAAAGAAGTTGAAAAACAGTAACACTAACAGATTATTACTTTGCATTTGCATAGGCAAAAAGGTTTGTTCATTTTCTCCGGCAAGAGAGCCCCCCCCCCCCCCCCCCCCCCCCCTCTTATTGTTTAGAACAGTCTGTTTTTCACAATATTTTGCTGTGCGCTAAAAGAACACTCGAACGGCGTTGAAGTTGCCTGGACACGTGTAACCTTGTGAAATTGTCTGCAGTTTCAAATCTCGCCCTTATAGTTTTCTTGAGGCTAAAACTTTACCTAAAGTTTGCCCTTCATAAAGGTGCACTCGTCCAGGACTGCGTGGTAAAAGCGTTTATTTGCCATTTATTTTCCTTCGTCAAAATTGTATCGATTGACCGGTTAAAAAATTTATCGCGATTAAGGCATAAATCGATTAATCGGTAGGTTAATCGATTAAGTAGCCAGCCCTATCTGAGGTGTTCGTTATTTGGGCATTAAAGAGAGACCGGAGCTAAATTATACACCTTGTAATGTGTGTTTACACTTTAATCGGACAAAAAGCAACATACATTGTAGTTTCTGATTCGTTGCATTCAACCAGATTTAGAAAAAATGAAAAAAAAACTGAGGCAATGCAGAGTTTTGAAATTTAAAGAAGAAACTGTAATGTAATTTTTTTTTTTTTTGTTACGAGAACGCAGATAAAGGTCCCTAATTATGTGATGATGTCAACTTACCGCACAATCCAGTATAGTTCTGATAGTGACGTTTGTATTGTTCTTCCTTAGACTTTGGCTTATGGTGGGTTTCTTCTTCAGAAGAACACTGGCTTCCGAAAAACAAAATCCCGAAAAGCGCACAGATCAGCGCAGTCTTCATGACTAGTCGAATCTTGCTCCTCAATCTCAGAGTTGTAAGGAATAAATGACACGTCTCTTAGACATTTTATACGCGCCTCAGCCTGCGGGCACCAATCGCGCACCTGCCTCCAAATGACGCAGACATTACCGGTGTGAGAATTGTTTCATTGTTATTATTTTATTGTCGCCGTGAATGCCCGCAGAACTAGCTGCCTGATGTTGCACTTGCCACAAAATGTTCAATGCCGACATTCGTATTACAATGAACTTTAGCCTTTCTTTCTCGCACTTGTTGGGTTTTGGCAAGCTGGGCTGCAGCAGATAAGGTTTTGCTTTTATTTTCAAATGAAACTTTGAAACTCTTTTGTTTTTTTCCACCTTGACGTAAATAAGTACATAAATGTTCGATCCAGTTACATCATATGCTTGGGAAGAAAAATTTCGTGTGAAAAAGTGAATGCAACTTGCTAACCGGCGAGGATTAAACAATAGCCTGTAGCAACATTAAACCGGAAAAAGACATGGTTTAAAGAAAAACGAAAGTTAATTTATAAATGTGTGGCTATTTTATTTAATTATATTTATTGAGTTATCATGAAATGATGGCTCGATAACTAAAATCAATTGAGTATTAAAGGGGAGGTGGAACGGTTTTCAGAAATTTTGAGTATATGTCTATTTGGAATCCTTGTACTTCATTAGATAACCCATGTTCATTTTTTTTTATCGCCCGGATTCACTTACTAGCGTAATAAACATAATTTCAGTTTTTCAGCGAGCTTCCTTCTCAGTTCTACAAACACGTCACGATAAGTAACCAATAGGAAAAGTTTGTTTTCTTCGCAAGATGGTCACGTAAACCGGTCTCAATTGGCACAACGAGAGCGTCAGATATCGCTCCAACAGCGGCGCCATAAAGACCGCACGCAGTGGCGTACCAACCGAACGACATCTCATCCGATATCGGCTCGAGGGAGTCGTAACAATCGTAGTCGGTGCACAGTTTTAATTTCTTACAAAGCAGAACGTCGTAGAAAATAAAACCAGAAGTTACTGATTTTTCAAGTTTGCTTTTTTTTTTTTTTTGAGAATATGTCCTTTTATTTTAGAGAATAGCGCTACGAGCTGTTTGTTATTTACACTTATTATGTTCAGTTTAGTTTCGATCTAACTTCCTTTCCTCCTTCGTGTTAATTCTTCTATGCTATAGCCATCTGTGGCAGCGTTCTCCGAACACCTGCGACGCTGCCGAACGGCTCGCGCCAAGAGTGCTCTCGCTGATTTTTGCGTGTTTGCTTTCTTCTTTTTTTCTGCTTCGAAAATTAAAATGTTCTATGACGTAACTCCGACTCGGCTGATCGCTGCCTAGGCCGCCTGCACAGTTTTGGCGACGAGGGTGCTAACCTGTTCACTCAGTGCCATTTGCACACCCTAAGGCGACGTATGCGTCGTTCTGCATAACCTCTGGACGGCGTGTGCCTGGCGTCACGACGACTTGTGCTTCCGGCGAATTCTGGGCTCACCAACGAACCTCGGCTGCTGCTTGTCGAAGGCATTCGACAAGAAGCGGCCGAACCCATTACCCCAGCACAAGTCACCGTGCCTGGCGTCACGACGGCCTTTGCTTCCTGTGAACTCTGGGCTCGGGGAGTACGTTCGATTTCGAACGTCTTTCTGGATTGCTGAGTCGTCATCTTAACGGCAAGCATGGCTAACTTTGACAGGTCACCACCGAACTTCCTGGACAAGGCCGGTACACCGCCGATACCGTGGAAATCCGGGCTGTGGATGTTTGAAAGTTCATCTTGGCTACTGGCGCTCAAGAATAGCAGAACGACGTCAAGCAAAGCTCCTCAATTGCTTGGGGGTCGAAGGACAGCGCGTCTACGACTCCCTAATAGCTGCCGTCGGACCGGCGCAAGCACCGTCACCGGCGGTAGATGGTCAGCAAGCTCGGCAAGTGTCTCGCGACGTTTACAGCAAGACCGTCAGGGCCCTCCAGGCAGAATTTTCACAGCCAATCAACAAGACCTTGCAATAACTTCGATTCCAGATGATAAGATAAAGCAACAAGAAGGAGAAAACCTGCGCGTATTTCTCTCAGCCCTCCGTGCATTAGCCGCGCTGGCTTCCACAGAGATCCAAGAACGCCTGCTTCTCGACGCCGCGCTACCGTTCAGCGTTGTCTTGCGACAGTGATCAATAGGGAACGCGCGCGCCGTGAAGTTCGAGAGAGGGCCATGGTGACCACGGCTGCGCCGTCGACGGTGTCGGGGGAGGACGTGACCTGCCACGTAACAAAGCCTGAAGGATAAACATCCTTCAGGCTGTTACAGAGACTGAAGGATAAACGAGTCAGCCAGCATTCCGTTATCTTCCTTCATCGATGACGTCATCCACGCACGAGCCGCGTGAGTCGCGTCGTGAGTCACCTGCAGGATCTCTGACGCGGCGTTCGTCAGCACGGTCAGGGAACGCACGTGCTTCGCGCTCGCCTAGCCAGCGAGCTGCGTAACCTGTGGCAGCAGCGGCGATGGTGGTTTCGACTGTTGCAGTCGTCAACAGAGCCCTGGACGATCGGCGTTTCGTCATTCGATGCATTTCAAATCCCCGCGGAGGCAATTACATCCACGGTGCAATGGTAACGATCAGGAATGCTGCAAGGGCTATGGCGTCCGCCCAGCCAGAGGTCGGCACCGTGACAGCTGTAGCCGTCGGGGGCATTTTTCACGCATTTGTAGAGGTGTTAAACGATCCCTGGAACGCCGCCCGAATGATGAAGTTAAGCAGATTGTCTCCTTTGTCACTGCGAAAAACGAGTGCATCTCAAAACAACATCTGCAAGAAGAGACTGCAAATGACGCGCTACTCATCGTCGTCATGGGGTATGTGACATCACAGTGGCCATCGGTGAGAACTCTATCCGCTGACGCCGCCATTTTCTACGAGCTGAGAGACGCACTCTAGGTCAACAACGAGCTCTTGCTCCGCGGTACAAAGGTTGCCGTTCCCACGGCTATGCGATGTGCACTTATTTATATAGCACACGAGGGTCATAGTGGCATCATGAAGACAGAGGCGCGTCTTCCTGAACTTTATTGGTGGCCCCGTATGAATGCAGAAGTGCGTAGAGCAGTCTGCGCCGGCATAATCTGCGGCACCTCGACCAAAAGTGCCAAGTCATCCCAAACCTCTCCGCAAACAAAGCCCTCGGCGAAGCGATCTGGGTCGAAGGTAGAGATCGATTTTATTGTCCCTGAGCAAGACGAGCAAGCGTATACCACTACGCTATTACGCTCGTGGACTCTTTTTCGAAGTGGCTGAGGCAGCGAATGCAACGGAGGCCATAGCACAAAAAGGAGCCCGTCGACCGGCGCCGAGCAGCAAAGACCCCCAGATTTTGGGTTGGAGACTGGGTTATAGTGAAGAAATCCAAAAAAAAGATACCCAAGGGAGAGTCAAGCCTTAAGGTCCACCTTTACATATTGTGAAGCGTGTTGGTCGGTGCACGTTCAGGCTGGAGAATGGTCGAGTGTGCACAAGCTAAGAAACTCGCAGTTGCTCCCGTTGCTAACCGGGAAGGTAATCAACAGAATACATCGGCTGCTGTCCAAAATGTCCGTCCCCTGAGGCACGCGGCTTCTATAGGTGACACGTCTCAAAAGCACAATAATTTGCAGCCGCAGTAGTCGACCTTGGCGAGGCCTCGATCACAGACACCTGAGTGTACACCCATCCCAGACACACCAGGAGAAAGAGCCACCGTTCAGTTCTTTGTGCTAGTGCTTCCAAGACGCTCGGAGCGTAGCCGTCCATCACCTGTGCGATACGGAGGCAATGTATCATGACGAACTGGGTGGACTATTTCCTTTTTGTTTTATGACCTATGGTGAACTACGTGTGTGCTTCTCATTAAACCGCACTAAGCATGCCCTTTTTTATGTCGTAAACGGGCGGATAATGTGTTGTGCTCATGAACTCGAAATTTGCAGCGGTAAGGCGCGGTTGCGGCGGTAAGGCGCCCGCGCGATTTTTCCGTCCCTTATCTAGCCCCAGCCTTGTACCTGCTCCACGAGGGGTAACTTTAGCGCACTACTGCGCTTCTCACGCGCTCAGATTTTTTTTGAAATTTCCTAATTTAGTAGTTTTAAATTAATCTCAGCAAGTTTCTAATTGGAACCATAAGTCTATATTCACTAATAAAAAACTTAATTAACGAATTTAGTTAATTACTCATCAAACCGTGACGATCATTCGCTTGTCGAGTGTCCGACGAATTCAAGAAACATAAGTGAAAATGGCATTCACGTTGCAGTAAAGACTTTTTTGTTTTGTTTTTAAATATGTTTCGACTAAAAAATATCACCCGGTATGTATAGTGTTGGAAAAAAATAGTGGGTATAGGAACAAATGATCTTAAGACTAATGGTCCCGGAATTAATGGTCAAGGAACAAATGAACCCGTAAGAAGATTGTTTTGAAGCTAAGATATGCCAGGCAATACACTTCATCCGTTATGCAATGAGTGATTTCCTGGTGGAATAAAGGATCTCGTCTATATTTTGAGGCCGGTTACTTCGAAGAAAGTGGTCGGGCATTGAACTTAATTTTCTTCAAAATGGTCAGAATATTTTCTAAATGAATACGGTCCAACTGTTATCTCTTAACTGTTAATTTAGTAATCTTATACGATAATATAGGAGTTATTACTATTTTTATATAAGGGGCTTTAGAATATTTATGATACCAGTAGGATATTTTGAAATAAAAAATGAGAAGTCGTATCGCGTCCATGTCACATAGGCGAATGACGTTTTAGCGAACAGCGATATTTGAGCGAATCGACGTTTTAATGCGTGTTAATCCCCCCCCCCCCCCCCCCCCCCCAATCCCAAAAGCCAAAATTCGTGATATTTATCTGGGACCATGTCTTCTGAGTTTGTACTTGGGACCGTTGGTTCCGGGACTATTTGTTCCGGGATCATTTATTCCCGGACCATTTGTTCCGGGACCATTTGT